GGGGGAAACGTTCCTGTTTATATGTTCCGGGTTCTACTGTTCAGTTCACCAGACCAAATGTGGTTCATCCAGCCTCCCTGAAAATAGTCCCAACAAACAACCCATTTCCTCTGTCTGTTTGTTTGTTTACAGTTAATCAGCTTGATTTACTTTAATGTGCGAACTCATCAGGCAGAAACCACTGCAGCCACAGACAGGAAGGGGACAGTATTCAGGACGCCACTGACATGAGATACCATCGTTTTGGAATATTCAGTCGGACAGTTTCCTCTAAACAATAAACAGGAATGTCACAGATAATCTTTACTTTACTTCCTCTTAGACTTGACTTCCATGTATGGGACTGTGGTTCCTTTTTAAGGGCACGTTCCAGAAATATAAATAAACGTTATGATTTTTTCCTACAAGTATCAATATCAGGTTTTTCCCCATCGTGGCTGCTCAACATCGTGAGCTTGTCAACAAAATCTACCCAGCAGCATTTGCAAGTTATCTGAGCAGATTGCCCACTAACATGACTGCAGACCGGGGTGTATTAATGATGGGCTGCATTCAACTTAGGGGGAGGAGACACTAAATGGAACGGAACCCGTCCGTTCCTGGTCTTATTCGGCCTTGCGTCCATTTTGAAGTCTACACTGAGTATAAACTACGTCAGTGAGGGATGATGTCACTGCGGCGGTCTCACCCTCACGAAGTAAAACATGGCAGGCAGAGTCAGACTGTCATTGGAGGTTTCATTCTTCATCTTCCTGATTCATCATCATCATTCATCATCTCATCACTCTTATAGTCATATTATTAGTATCAATATAAATAATAACATATAACAAACACAGAAACATCTTCAACCTTTAACCCCTCGAGCCACCTCAGGGGAACCAAGACGTTTAGCATTCTGAATATATATTAATAATAAAATATATATAATTATAATATATATATATATATTCAGATATATGTATATATATTTAATAAACCCTAAACCCTAGACTGCTCTATTTGAAAAGTGTCCTGAGTAACTTCTGTATTATTGGAGCCTATACAAATAAACTGAAATGAATTGAAAAATTGAACAGCAACACAGCACACACACACACACAGTCAGTAACACAACACACACACCCCCACACACCACACCACATAGTCAGTAACAACACACACACCACACACACACACACACACACACACACACATGTCAGTACCCCACACACACCACAAGTCAAACACACACACACACACCACACCACACACCTAGTCAGTAACACACACAACACACACACACATAGTCAGTAACACACACACACACACACACACACACACACACACACACAGTGCAGCTGTTACATCAGAACCTTATGAAGATCCAGTCTCAGTGAGGTTCTACACACAGAACCTCCCATTCAGACAGGGAACCTGGTAACATGTATTAAAGCAGAATATATTTAGTGACAGCTACTTCCTGTCTCTGATCCTTAAACATTTGGCCCCTTTAGGGTTCCCGACCCACAGCTTGAGAACCTGGATGCTGATTGGCTGCTCACCTGTTTGTTCCTCATCTGTGACATCACAAACGTTATGATATTCATCATATAGGTTTGTGTAAAACATCATCATCATCATCATCATCATCACGTTTTCACCTGAACACCAAATACACCTCAGATCTGCTTCCTGACGCCAATTATGGTCCGACCAATCAGAGAGCAGCACCAGAGCCGCAGACAGACAGACAGACGGACAGACAGACAGGTAAACTGCTCTGCAGTAATCATCCCACACACACACACACACACACACACACACACTGCAGCCCCGCTCAGAGTGGACCGGTTGTGCCGGGTACAGACCGGTTCTGATCCGGTTCTGATCCCGTTTCAATTGATCACACACAGGCGGTCTCACCTCAGACCATCGATCCGCTTTGATTCCGGTCACGTTTCGTCCTCCAGCAACAGAACCGGACCCGCTAACGGAGCCGTCTCAGCGGACGGACACAACTGCCTGGTTGTCGACCCGGTTAGTCCCGGTTCAGGTCCGGTTCTGGTCCGTTGTGCCTGAATTAGCACAGATTTGAGAGCGGTGATTTCCTACCGGAGATCCGCTGCTGCCGCTGCTGCTGCACGGTGTGTGTATGTGTGTGTGAGTGTGAGTGAGTGAGTGAAAGAGAGAGAGAGAGAGAGAGAGCGAGAGAGAGAGAGACATTGGTGGAACATGGAGGTGTTTAAAGCCTCTTCCTGGCAGTGTGTATGGAAGGTGATCAGTGCCTTCGTTAGACTGTTTCATTAAATCCAACTCATTTATTTATGTTGACATTTATTACGTATTATATTATTGATGCGTTCAGTGTTTGATGCGTTCAGGTGTCCACAGTGACTATACATTTCTTACTGTAATTACTATATGCACAACATATATATATATATATATATATATGCACCATATTTTCTATTTTTAAAAATATCATCACCAAAAAAACCCCCAGTAGAATCAGTTTGATAGTGCCACCATGGGGTTGCTATAAGCATTTTTTTTATGTTTTTACTAATAAATTATGAATCGTTAATAACTCAAAAAAACACTTTTATATAGTGGGATCTGTGATGATGCCATTTTTACTGATATAGGCCAAATAAATGATATAGGCTTAAAAACATTCCATTATTTTTGTTGTTGTTTGTGTTTCATAAGTTTTAGTGAAATCCAATAATTGACACCAATTGTCTTTTAGAGACAGTTAATACAAATTGGATTGAGTCCATTTGACAATAATACTTAGTTACAGAAATAAAGGCCGATATAGATCAGTGCTATATACAGGACAAAGGCCAGCGCTGTAGATATAGAGCAGAGGTCAGTGCTGTAGATAAAGATCAGAGGTCTAATGATATTAACTTTATTTCCTATGTTTTAGTCCAATAATTCGACACTAATCATTATCTTCAGTCTTTATTTTGCTTCTTATTCTTTCTTGTTTGCCGTACATTTTTTGGACTGGTATCACTCGAACACCATATTCAATTACTACTTATTTCGGGTGGTATCACTAGATGTGAAATGCAAACACTTCTTAAGATGAAGATAATAATGAGATATTTGAATTCACAAACATTATTGTGGCACGTTAGTAAAGCATTGAACAGAAATATCTAAAGGTGATATTAGAAATCAATACTTTTACACACACAACGTATTTCTTTATTGAACTTTAGCCGATGACTAGAGTCTAAAATGTGGCCATAACTGATCATTACATTCACTTATGTTTTTAACTTGTTACATCTGAAACCAAACTGGGCTGGCTGCTGCCTCCTGCTGGAGTTACTTATTGATTTATTAATCCATTTATTGTCAACCTCACAGAAATCATATTTAAATATTGACTCTAAAATACTGAAATCAGCCTCAAATACAGAAACAACATAAAGCAACAGAGCTTTTTATTTTCAGTTTTATTACAAAGTAAAATACAAAACAAGATTTATTTACAGGCACAAAAATTGACATATCAGTTTCAGTTTACTGACAAGTCATCAGCTCAGGAATATGGTTCAGGTGTGTGATGTGTTCAGGCTTGTGATGTGTTCAGGTGTGTGATGTGTTCAGGTGTATGATGTGTTCAGGTGTGTGATGGAGGGATCCTCCTCCACAGACCTCCACACAGACAGTTTTTGATCCACCGCTGCTCCCACTGCTTCATGGCGTTTGTCTTGTTGGGAGAACGAAGCATCGTCACACAGCCACACCTGAAAACACAAAATATATATTCTGCATAAAACCCTGAGATAGAGATATATATACACTTCTGAACAAAATCTTAAGACCGGGAGAAAGATTACAAGTATTCACATTGGTGGAACATAACCAGACTGTAGAGCTTCAAAATGCCAAAAGAAGAAACAGGAGCAAGAGACAAAACAATAGGAGGCAATTTAATGAAAATTGCATTTAAACTCTAAAACCTTAAACAGGCTGTTCATCAGCAGATCAAAAGTTTAAGACCATAGCCTTAAAAAGTCCAAATCTGTGCAAAAATCTGTCTTTCATGTCATTTCAGGCATGAGGAATTCACACTGTCATGACCACCTGATGGCAAAGGCAAAAAGGCTTTCTGTCTTTGAACATGGCAGGATTGTTGAGCTGCACAAGCAAGGCCTCTCGCAATGCGCCATCGCTGCCGAGGTTGGACGCAGTAAGACAGTCATTTTAAATTTCTTAAAAGATCCTGAGGTTTATGGGACAAAAAGGTCAAGTGGTAGACCCAAAAAATTTCACCTGCGCTGTCCGTGAAGACACAGGCCGATCCTCGACCCAAATTAAGGCCCTTACTGATGCTGACTGTAGCCCAATAACCATCAGACGGCATCTGCGACAGAAGGGCTTAAAGAACAAAAAACGTCTTCAAAGGCCACGTCTCCTCCCACACCACAAACCTGCCCGGTTGGACTTTACAAGAACCAAACATGGGACATTGAAAGGTGGAAGAAAGTTTTATTCTCTGATGAGAAAAAATTTAACCTGGACGGTCCTGATGGCTTCCAACGTTACTGGCATTAAAAGGAGATCCACTGGAGATGTTTTCTACGCAGCACAGTGGAGGTCCATGCAGGACGTCAAACTGCAGCTGGCTATGTGGAGATGTTGCAGCAGGCATCCCTCTTGACTGAGGGCCCTCGTCTGTGTGGTGATGATGGTCTTTCAACAGGACAACGCTGCAGTTCACAACGCCCGCCTGACGAAGGACTTCTTCCAGGAGAATAACGTCGCTCTTTTGGACCATCCGGCATGTTCCCCTGATCTAAATCAAATTGAGACGTCTTGGGCATTGGATGGCAAGGAACGTTTACAAAAACGGACTGTCAGTTCCAGGACCGTGGATGTCCTTTGTGAAGCCTCTTCACCACATGGCAGCAACGTTTCCACCATCTCTGCGAAACACTCGCCATCAAGGCATGCCTGAAACGAATTTGAAGTTATGTCTGTTATTTGAAGTTGATCAACAACAACTCCCTCACTACTCGACTCCTTTTTTTTGACACTTTTAGTTTCTGTTTAGTTTTTTTTTTTTTGGTTTATGGTCTTAAACTTTTGATCACCTGATAAACAACCTATTTGAGTTTAAATGCAATTTTCAATAAATTTCCTACTTTATTTTTTTTGTTTGTCTTGCTCCTGTTTCTTCTTTTGGCATTTTGAAGCTCTACTTACAACCTGGTTATGTTCCATCAACACTTGTAATTTTTCCCCCGGTCTTAAGATTTTGTTCAGGAGTGTATGTGACTTTTTTCATGACAGTACAACAGCACAAATCACATGGAATAAGATCTTTTCAATTCTGATTTGGGCCACTGTCATATGTGGTCCAAAACACATACAAGTCTAATTTTTTGTAGTGTGACCAGTGTGAACAGTCAAATCAAAATTCATGCGACAGAATTCACTCTAGATTCACATTTGTCTTACGAGTCACTTCAGAACGGTGACCTGTTCACCCTGGAATCTGATATGGGTCACATTTAAAAAAACTGCCAAAAAACCGGATCTGAGCAATAAATCAGATGTGAGCACTAAAGCTTGCAGTGTAAACGTAGCATAATTGTGTTACTGCTGTAGAATCACTAATATGTTACTTGGACACAACTTTTTATAGGACTACATAAAAGCAGTGACATTATGAGAGACTGAAAATATGAACAAGTGTAAGATAACATACAGAGCAGGTAGATAGATACAAATAACAAATAAATAAGCATTATATAGTGTACATAAGTGAGTTATCCCACTGTTATCATCTAACAGTTTCTGCATGTGGTCCTAGCTGATGGACTTGCCACAGAGAAGTTTTGCTAGTATTTAGACATTGATGGCTATTAACTTAAGTGTGGGTGTTACCTTAGAGTGTGTTGGGGAACCTATGATTATTTTCGTTATCTATTAACATGGAAGTGTTTTCTTGATCGCTAGATTAATTGGTAATTTTTTTTTTGATAACATTTTTTTACCAAATTTGTCAAACGAATAGTACCCAGGCAAAACCCCGACATATTCAGTTTACTGGAAGCAGAAGATCTATGGGTAATCTATTAGTCGACTAATAGTTTCAGATCCAAAGAGATAATCAATTGTTATCAAATTTAGTGTGTCTAGATTAGTGTATGTCCACAGGACGTTGGATCCACTTCCTTTTCTGAGACTAATTTTGCCCTTCCTGCATCACAACAGAATGAGCAGCTTCAGCAGGATGTGGACTTCTATCGCGGAGAGCTGGACCAGAAACAGCCGGCACCATCCAGAGATGAAAACGCTGAGATCCAGAGGAAGCTCAGCCTGGCCAACCGCCAGCTCTACCAGTGCTTGGAAGACCTTCAGGTATTTCGAAATCCATTTGTCTACTATTAGGTAACAGACCATTATAGTACTATGCTTTAGAGTTTAAAGACACAGAACAACCAAGGCCTTTGGTGGAGGGAAAAACCTAAGTTGTGTGCTGCCAAAAACATGCATGATCAGTGTTGCATTCAACAGTTTAACTTTTTACTGCTTATTTTATGGCTTTCATCTATTTGTATTGACTGTTCTTTATCTCCCATTTGTGTCCATTAGCGAGCCGAAGATGAAAACTTACACCTGAAGACACAGAATGAACAGATGCAGAAAAGTCTGGAGGAGTCGGTTAAGGAGATGGAAAAGATGACAGATGAGTACAACAAAATGAAGATTGTTGTACGGCAGACTGACTCCATTATGGACCAGCTTAGGAAAGAGAGGGATCATGCAAAGCTACAAGTAAGGACACTCCTCAACAAACTACTTTTCGATTCTGTATTTTTTTCCCACGTGTGGGTGGTTTATGAAAAACATTTTTGTGCTGAATTACTTTTATACCATTTATCTTTCAACTGCAAGCTTATGGCATACATGAACTCTGTTATCATTACCAAAAAGGACTGCAATGTTGAAGCTGTGAATCACAGCTCCGTCTGTTTGTTTAATGTGCAGGTCAGAGAGTTAACAGATAAGATTCATAACATGACTGAAGAGGAAGACCCAATAATGGCAGCAGTCAATGCCAAAGTGGAGGAGTGGAAGGTAGGTATTCATCAAATGTCTTTCACTCAACAAAGCCAGATGTACTTAAAGTATACATTTTATGGCAGGAACTTATCCGATAACCCAAAAACCTTTTTATGAAACCTAACCTGCCCTGAGAAACTGGACTCTAAATTTAATTCCTGCCTATAAAAGGTTCCTTGTCTGGGGGGTGTACTTACTGAAGGGTGGGTGAAGTTTGCTGTACTGGGTGTCACTGATTAATGAAAGACTGGGGCAGTCAAGGCAATTTGAAGTTCACAGAGTAAGCAAGCACTTGTTGCCAGTACTAAGTAAGTGGAAATTTCTTTTGGTTTTACTGTCGTCAAAACCAAACTATGTAGTGAATTTACCAAGTACTCGAACAATGGAAAGAGAGGACCAATTGTATCAATCAACTTCTTCTTCTTTGGGCTATTTTACTAATTTGCCAAGTTGTAAATAGGTCGTAGCAGCACAAATGGGGATTGCGTGTAAGGGATTAACTTCCTTGATTCAGCTCCGGGTGCTCATTATGCTATTTTACCATTGTAAATGAGTTTGGCTCTTTGTTGAATTATTCTAGGGAGCCATCATGAGCCTTTCATTGTGCTGACATGACACTTTTTCTCACACAAAGAGAGTGCTCTCTGGGAAGGACGAAGAAATTTTGGTGTACCAGCAGATGATCCGCGATATGAGGGAAAAGCTGCGTTCAGCCCAGTTGGACTTGGACAAAAGCAACACCATTGCCTTGCAGCAGGTCGGTCCCAAAAGAGGGGAGGAATTAATGTTCTTTATCTATGTACTATGACTTCTCATCTGTCATTGCGGTGCGCAGAATGTGGGCCATTATGTTACCATGGTGGTGCCTGTTGATGTGTAGATACATTTTTGGGAACACAAAAACTCAAGCACTGCACATAGAAAACACCAAAGGCAACAATGTAGGAATTGTTTTTGTTGCCTTAGAATGAGCTTCTTTTTTAACTACAAGGAGGGGGTCCCTCCACAGAAGCCGCCATCTTAAACCACCATGTTTCTGCAGTAGTCAAGATGAAACAAACCAAATACTGTCTGTAGATGGGGGCATTTTACGGTTTTCGAGTTTCGCGGCCACCTACAGCATTGGAAGGTTCAGTGGTAGTCAAGTGGTTGCAATCTGAAACAACACCACTAGATGCCACTATATCCTACACACTGCTCCTTTAATATATCAGTAATTGCTGCAAGACATTATTATGTTCAAGAATGTAAATGCTTTCTAAAGCAGTATTAGTTCTTCCACTGCCTGCATACTTAAATATGCAAGATAAAAATCCTAATTTCAACGTGGAAAGCCATTTTTTATGCATGCCTTTATTTGTATTCTTTGGAGCGGGGAATCCTGACTTGGATTGGATTGTCATTGCATGTCCTTTCATCTATCTATCTTCTTTCCTATTTTCTGCTTTCTCGCTTTGCCTTGCCATGTCTTTTTATCAACCTGTCCTCCCTTCCATCTCTATCGCTGCCCTGGGCCAGGTCATATATGAGCTTTGCAGTGTAAGTTTCATCTGTCATGAGCCTCTTATCCTTTCTCCCTTAGTTTTCATTTCATAAATTTCCTTAATGATGAAAGTTCAGATAATTTAGTATGTTGCAGCTGTGCTTGGTCTTACATATAAATTCTTTTCAGGCCGTCCAAGAAAGAGATAATCAAATCAAGATGCTGAGTGAGCAGGTGGAGCAGTATACCGGGGAAATGGAGAAACACACCCAGCTCATCGAGGAGCTAAAGACGTCCACAAAGAAAGACAGAGGTGGGGGGACGACTGCTTAATATTCCTAACTGTTGTGAACTTAAGGTCAGACAGTGATTACTATAACACACTTTCATCAGCTTTTCTTCTCTCACTTGTGGACTGCAAGCATTTGTAGTAATAATGCCGAGGCAAAGAAATTAGCCCCAGTCACCAGTTCTAAAAGAACTCTAAAAGAACACATTCAGCTGTCGTGACTTTTTTTGCTAAATGTGCTATGTGGCGATGTGATGGCTAAAGCCAGCTAGATAACATGGTCATGCATGTGAGATCGAAGGATTATTGCACTATTGTATTTAACATATTTGTGGCTGTTAAATACAGGTGAACTTGAATTAACTATGTAAGTTTATTTATGCTTGTTATCAGGTGAACTAGAGGAACTGGCAAATACATTCAAATATCCAACACCAGTCACTTTTGTCTGCAGTTAAAGAAATCTTTTCTTTTTAATTGTCCAAGGCCAACCATTGACCATACAGCAGAGAAAGATGGAAGAGCTGAAGTCCAAGCTGGAAGCTGCAGAGACCAGAGCCTTGGAAGCAGAGCAGGCGGTAAAGCTTGCGGAAGCTCATGCTGAGGAAAAAGACAAAGCGCTCATTGAGGCTTCAAACCGCTTGAGCCAGTACGAGTCTGTAAGTCTACAAATACCCTCTCTTTCCCCTTTGTGTTTTACTCTTGGCTTACATCAAATATTTTTTTAATCCAAATCGAATTAATTGAGACCTAAATTCCCAGAAGCAAAGTTTGTTTTTTCCTGTCCATCCTCACTTTTAATAGAGACATTGAAATGACTATGTGACTGTGGTGTGATCAACATGCTTTTTGCGTCTACAAGCTAAGTGTTTGTCTTTCACTATGTCTAATTACATCCTGATTTCTCCAGAAAGCGTACAAGTTGAAAAACAAGGAAATAAAGAAAGTGAGACAAAACATGCTTTATGATAGACGAGTAACCAATGCTCTGTTTCTGCATTACAGGGCACTTATGGCCTGGAAGCAGCCATCGTGGAGATCAAAGAGTGTAAAAATCAAATTAGAGTGAGAGATCGTGAGACAGAGGCCATGACCAAAGAGATCAACCAGCTTGAGATGAGAATCAATGACCTCATGGACGAAAATGAGGATTTCCGAGAAAAACTAGGTCAGATTTTTTTTCTTTTTTAACGTTACTGTTCCCATCTCTCAGTCACACAGACTGACCTGGAGTTGTGAAATGAATTTTACTTTTATTTATTTCTGTCTTTTTCATGACTCCCAAGGTCTGGAACCAAAGCAGGAAGTGGATCTGACAGAGTTCAGGCGGGCCAAAGATCTCAGACAACGCCAGTACAAAGCAGAGAACCAAGTCCTCACTAAAGAGGTAGAGTAGGCTTACAAAGGCTATAACCACTTATTTTAGAATTGCTATGTTTTTTCGGAGAGCCTTTCACCTCACCTGCTTGATTTTTTTTTTCTAGATTGAACGGCTTGAAGAGGAGAGACTGGAGCTAAAGAAACAAATCAGATCCATGGTGAAGAGAGGTGACGCAAAAATCTAATTATTAACATTCTTTTGCCACGTTTTCCCCCCTATGAGATAAAATATTACTTCGGGGTGTTTTCAACTGTCTGTTTGATGTTGCATCTCTACTGATATCTCAGACAAAACGTTTTGGTCTTTTAATTAATGTGTGGGCAGAATAGTTGCAGGGCAGAATATTTAACTCAAAAATAATTCCTGATTTTGTCTGAGCCCCTTGGGATATTTGCCATTACTGATTAATACAAAAGAGTCCCGCCTATTTTCTTCAATTCATCCAAAACTAAAACGTTATATTTCAAGTACCTCCGGTGATATCTTATCGTGCTCATATTTGTGGCTTTATGTGCACATCGTTTGAGATATCAATCTTTGACACTTTTGCCTCCACCCCAGTTCGATGGAGTACAAAGTAATTTTGTTTGTGGCGCTCACGGCATTAAAATGTAATCACTTTGAAATGTTGCAATGCAATGATTAATTCAAACCACTCAACGACAACATGTCTTTCCAGAGAGGGTGTTAGTAGGAAATCTTTTGACACTCAGTGTAACCCTGAGTAAGAAATTAAATTCCAATCACCTCGATAGTGTTAGGTAGGAGGCAGAAATGTAAGTGCTAGAGGGAGATATCCCGAAACTTGATTCAATATAACCAAAACAAAATGTGCAAAGCTTTCTACAGTTGCTGTCGAGTTTAACATGCAACATTTGAGTGAACCCACCTGGTTTTCCTATATTTTATTACACATTTGTAGTCTTTTTAGCTTTTTTTTTACTCTTCTGAAAGTGTTATATGGGACGAAAATGATTCAATATTCATGTTGTGCTGTAACCAATTAGTAACCAATCACCTGTCTATAGGGATCCCACAGTCAAGATTGCTGCAGGAGGAGGACGTCGGACCCAGCAGAACTGCACAGCTGCCACTTCAACAAAGCAGCATGTACACAGATGAAGAGATGCGACGCAAAGTAAGCTCCCAGCTAATGACGTAATTTCTCATATTGGGACTTCAATCCTTGCCCAGTGTTTCAAAGAAGCGCAATCTCATGATTACAATTTTAGAGCTCACATCACAATGACTTGTTGTTTTGTAACCAAAAATATGATTTGTCATGGTGTTGCTTTTTGTTTATAATTTATCTGGCAAAAATGTCCCTTTTCTGGACAGACTTGGTTCATGCAACATGATTTATGCACCACACAAAACAAAGCAAATGGCATAAAATTGTAGAAGGATTTAAGGAAGAAGTATAAAAAATAAAGTTAGAAGAGAGAGAAAGCAGGGGAAGTAATATATGGATATTTCACAAGTTCATCATTACGTGAGACATTTGAATCATTTGTGATTCGCATTTGAACACTACATCAAATGTTTTTCCTATGGAATGTCTATACACCCCAAAGTGCATTTTTTACCTTTAGATGAAAGGTTATAAGGTTTTCATTTACTTTTCTTTGCAGAATGAGCACCTTGAAAAAGAACTGAGCAAGAAGGAGAGAGAGCTGGAACTTCACAAGACACAGTTTCACATTAAATGTAAGAACAGCCCTGCTGTCCTTCTGATTTACATTCAAAGTTCACATGCAGATTTTTACAGCTGAGTCAGTTCCATGGGCGGAGGATTTTGGCCTTCACTTTAAAGTAGGGGAATATGTAATGCAGGTGTCATTATTGTTGTTGTTTTTCACAATATGATACTTTTTAAGTGAATTAAATATATCAGAGGCCACAGCTTCTCTGATACTGTTGGCTCCTGTGTGTTAAATCATAGTGGATGAACTGTCAAAAGTGAAAAGTGACCTGGAGGCTGCATTGAAAGATGTTCTTCGAGCCATGAGGATTAACCGAGAAACCACTCCATCTGAAGCTGCCATCAATATTCCAAGTCTGGAAAGGCTGGCTAATGTAAGTGTATCCCATGCGCAGGATTGTTTGTTAAACGCTCATTTTAGCCATTTCAGTAACATATCAGTTAAACCTTCAAGTAAAATATAGAGATTACAAAAAACATAGACAGAAGGAAGAAGGAATAGGTTGTAAGTATTTGCTTCTACAGTATCTTTTCTGAGACTACTGGCTTTAATTATAACAAATGTCACTAAAATGTATTACTGAATGCAAGTCTAACTTTAAACAATAATAACAATGATGAAGGATCAATGAGGAAATCTGTCTCCGCATTATGTCTCTCAAGAATTCACCTCACAGTGAATTATCAGATGTATACTTACACTTCAGCATTTCAACATACCATTAATAATGGACTGTTTGCACAGCAGACATTTTGACATGTCATACCAGGAAACTCACAGGTATATTAATGATTGCTGCATTCCACTGAGGGGGAGGCCAGGCCATAGACCGTTTGACATGAACTAGCAGGGCAAACACAGGTGTTACCAATGACGCTAATTATGGCTAAGGTCCATTCAGGTCAGACAGAGTCAGGGTGCTGCTATTGTGCATGTTGCCCTACTGAAAAGGCTCTGCTACACTAAATGGAACAGAACCTTAATCAGTATCATCTGTCACACCTGTGTTTACCCTACTAAAAGGTCTATTGTGCATGCTGGTTCACTCTTCACTATTGCTGGGACACTTAAAGGAACTGGGCTGTCATTACTGTTATTAAGTCCACCTGTGTTTTTCCTGCTGTGACAAGTCACAGTGGCAAGACATGAGTCGAGTGCATCAGTTGAGCTGTCAAGAAAGTGAATATGTTTTCACTGTAATCAGTCAAGATCAAAGATCTTGTGAGTTTTGGCAAATCTCTAGTAAGCTATTCCTGGTTTAAAGCTGTTTAAGGTTTAAAGCTGAAGGAAAACAAAAGCCTGTTTTGTTGTCTGATCCTGTAATATCTGAGCTGTTATATAACAAAACGTCACACAAGAACATAAGTGCATTTAACTTAATTGAATTGTAATACAATTTAGAATAACACAGACACAAAGGGTACTTTCCCTGAAGGTTATTCATGTAATAGGATGAGCAGTAGTACCAGTAGTAGATGTAGCATATGAGCAGTAAGTGCCAGTTTTAGGTCATATTTTTGTAGTCAAATGACGTATAAAATGTTTTATTTTATTAACTTAACAGATGTAGTCAGTATGCTTCTAGATTGACATTGGATATAATTTTGTGATTTAATGTTTTTGTAGTTTTTATTTACATGATGTTATATAGTTTATATTTTTAACAAATGTATTATATATAAAGCTTCACATAAGCAGCTCTGGTCCACAGAGTGCCTTTTATGGCATGCCTAATACAGCCAGTATAACCTCAAACATATCCATTTAGGCAATGAATGATGAGCTCTCCTCGTTTACTGATTGAGTGAATATGTCATGCTTCAATTCCATCTGTGATCACATGTTTTTATGTTTTCCTAGAGAGTTACAATATGTTTCTCACAGTCTCAGTTTGCACCATGTAGAGTTATTTTAGATCTGCTGTGCTGAAAACAATAGGCATACTCCCCTCCTAGATATTTCATTGTTTTTTGTCAGTCGAGGAAGCTTGTCTCATAGCAACTTAATAAACAACAAATGCGGTGAGCTAGATAAAAAAAAGTGGAGAGCAGTCAAACTTTTGGTGGATCACGCCGTGCTGTCGTCCAACATTAGATAATCCAAATACCAAGGCAAATTGGAGACGAATGAAGAAAATGTTTGTTTGGCTTTGACGTCACACTGGTGCGGTCAACATCAGACATGTCCAGCTCTAGAGGAAGTAACATGAAGTACCAGGTTCAAGCCATAGTAGTAAAAATAATATGATCTTTACTAGGGTGTTAACAGTGTAATTTTGAAAAATTAAGTGACAGGTCTTTTACTTATCATCTAACTTTTTGGTTGTTTTTTGTGGGTTTGTTTTTATGGCATTCCAACTGTGCTCATCCCCCATATCACAGGCTATAGATGTCAGCAACACAAGTGGGCAGTCTGAGTCAGCCCTGCACCTCAAGTCCCAAATACATCAGCTGGTGGGGAGAAATGAAGAACTAAGGCAGGAATTGAAATCGTCCCGGGAGGAAGCTACTTCCAGCTTCAGTCAGCTTGCCAGAGCCAAAGAAAAGGTATATCCAAATTGTGTTATGTCAAGATAAAGAGATGTTGTTGTTGACTGATAATGAAAGAGAACATGACTGTTGTTGTTGTTTGTTATCATGATACAACCTGTGTAGCTAATCTCTTATCTTTGTATCCCATCCTTTAGCAAAACAACAAAGCAGTGTTGTTAGGGTTTGTTAAGGGTTTGGTCAATCAAGGCCAACTTCAAATGCTTATAGCTGTGTGTCACAACCATCTTTTCCAAATTAACGCATAAATGTCTCACATAAAAGTAATTTACAAGACAAATTGACTTAACGGGAGGATTTATAGAGAAAGCGGCAATGCCTGACATGCTTTGTGTCTCTTAGAGTAATTAGCCTGACTGAAACACTTCTTTGAACAATCTGTCTGCTGTGTTTTCAGCATGTGTTGCTTCTGTTGTTTAACAGAAACCAGAGCCAGGGGAAAGCCTTGTTTTATATCAAAAACTTTTCGTCCAGAAAGCTATCACAACTTATCTTTCAGTTCTCCAGTTTTATTCTGATGAACTGCTTTGTCTTTTTTATATATTTTTTTTACAAAGCCTTAGCAGTCTGGATCGATGCTCAATGTCCTAAACAATTATTCATAATAAACCTCTGATACTAGAAGTGCACTTTATCTGTCAGGTGAGCCAACTGGAAGGTGAATTGGAGCTGCTAAGGAAGTCAGGCAGCAGTGGCATCATCCTCCGACCTCTCCCCGAGGGCCTGGGGCCCAGCAGCACTGAGGTTATCAGTTCTCTGAATGAGTACGCTGTTCGACTGCTTCAGGTCAGTGTCACTGTCCTCTTAAGACCTCAGCAAAAAAAAAAAATGTAATTCAACAACATGTCTTCATTGTATATTAAACATTTATAATATTCATATTAATTAGGAGCTCAAAAACAAGGAGGACAAAAGCAAGAAACTTGTGGGAACACTGGAAGAATACAAAGAGAAGTTTTCTGTTATTAGTCACCAACATGGACTCCTCTATAAAGAATACCTAAGGTGGGTTAACAAGTACGTTAATCACAGGTATAGCTGGTTTGCAACCTAAAGTGCTAAATTTTCAAATATCTTTATTGTGTTTTTTTGCTCAGTGAGAAGACGGAGTGGCAAAAGAAGAAAGAGACATTTACAGAGATGAAGAACAAGCTGGAGGAGCAAAAGCAGGTGGACGCTGTTAAAATCCAAGAGTTCAAAGTAAGTCAGACAAATAAATATTTAATTGCTTAATGATACTTAAATGCTGCAAGATGGACTGCATTTATGTAGCACGTTTACCCAAAGCACAGGAAAATGTGCCTTTCGTTCACCCCCACACTAAAGAACATAGAATAGGAACCTAGATGTACACTAACACGGATACATCTTACAACAACTCTTCTTTGTGCACATTGCAGTGTGTCTGTCCATTACCTAACTGAATAAATGTGAAACACATATAAAGGGAATACACCACTCATTCTGTCATGCAGTTTAAGATATGAGTGAAACCCTTAAGAGTCTTGGACTCACAGAAAGAAGGACCTGTGCCCAGTTGCATAAAACCACTTAGGCTAAAGTTTCCCTTAAAGGTTTTTGGATGCCTTAGACAAAAACTAGTTGCATAAAATCACCAGAAAGATTTTCTTTTCCAATTTCGTAAGTGAAAATGTATTTGCCCTGAGCTACTTAATTATTTTATTAAGTATTCCCTTATGCATTGCCAGAAGGTCCTTAGTTAAAATTTTCCTTAGAAATTTAACCCCTTGCCAGTGTCTTAAAAGTGAAATAATTTGTAGACAATTGCTGGATTCATGTTGATTGAGGATCAGAATCAGAATCAGAATCAGAAATACTTTAATAATCCCAGGGGGAAATTACTTTAGTTACAAACTCCAGAACATATATGAAGAACATATAAATACATAAAAAAAATAAAAACAAACTTCCCTCTCACCCTCTTGGGGTTGTATCTGTGTCATCCTCAAGCTCGGGTCC